GGGAAGGTGCGTGGAAGACCTGAGACAAGTCCCTGACTGAGCATGCCACGTAGGCGAGGGAGCGACGGGTGGCCAAGGCGGTGGTACCACAGGACGGTGCGGTGGGTGAGAGAGCGACAGGAGCAAGACGCCGCGACTGGACTGGGCACAGCGACCGGACCGGACACTACTACCTGGCTAGACACAGCAACTGGACTGGGGACCTGGGCTGGAGGGGACGCAACGACCTGAGGGGAGGACGCGACCGGGGAGCGCTCGGTGTGGAGAACGTAGAGACCGGAGCGGGGCTCCCTGGTGAACGTGGCCAGAACAGCACCCGTGGTAGTGTCTGTACAGACTGCAGTCCGCCCACCCCCCACGAAGGTAATTGTGATCCCCCTGTCGTGGAGGTATCCAACACCCACCAAGTTCCGAGTGAACGAGGGGATGTGGAGGCCGCGCAGGACACCAGAGGGGACCACAGGGCACGTGAGGTTGGTGGAGCTACGCGCAACGGCTGGTCCAGAGGTAGGATCAGCCAGAGCCACCGACACAGGTGTGAGGAGTGGTGTAAGGGTCGTGTGGTCGCGGAAGAAGCACTGAGACGCGCCCGAGTCCAGCGTGAACGACAGAGAGGCCTCAGCCGGAGGGTCACCAGACCCAGTCGCTACACAAGCACCTAGAGCAGCAACACAAGCACCTAAGCTAGACAGGCACAAGGCTACACTAGCAGGAGGCAAGCAGGCTAACCTACGAACACGCGAGCACACAGATCCATCAGCACTAAAGTCAGCATCAACATACAAAGCATGCTGACGCGCATCGTCCATGGACAAATCAAAGACATCAATCTTACGGGCTAACAGACGAGACCAGCGAGGCGTGACCGCCAGCGGGCCCCAACGAGCCCGATAGAGGTCGTCGAGGCGGCGGAAGCACCGCGCGGCAGAGTGGTCGTCGCGACCACAGAGACAGGGGCTCCCCGGCCCGGTGACGCACCAGTGGGTGCACGGGCCAGCGTCACGGCGAGGGGGGCGAGGGGCCCAGCTGGAAGTACTGCTGCTGCGGCTGGTGCTCCCAGGGCCGCCCGGACCCCACTGCGGCGGGGGACCCCAGTGCTGCTGCGGACCCCACTGCAGCGGGGGTGAGTCACTAGGTCGGAAACAGTCGCAAACGAGCCTAGGTCGGGAAACACAAACGGCATGAGGAGGCGATTGAGGGAGGCAGAGGAGGGGGTGGAGTAGCGAGCAACAATAGCCTCCCAAACCCCCTGTGCAGTCTCTACCTGGTCAAAGTGGGCGGCCTCAGTCGGGGGGAGAAGCTCCGACAGAGTGAGAGCGGCGGCTGCGTCAGGCGAGAGCCACACGTCCCTGGCCAGGACCCGACGGTCGTAGTCCGCCTGTGCCGTAGGGGTCGGCTCCGGGGTGGTCGGCAGGGCGGCGGGGGACGGGGGGGCCTGTAGGGCACCAGACGCGTGAGCCCACAGGGTGGCGCCGTCCTGTCGCTGGCTGGTGAGGAAGCGTGTGGTATGGCGCTGCCAGGTACCGAACTCGATTGGACGTCCCTCCGCATCGAAACGGAGGCGACGGGCCTCCATAGCGGAGCCCATGCTAGAGGCGGCTGGAGCACGGCGGAGGCGGAGCTAAGAACGAGGAGGAAAACTACGGAGCGCCAGGAGAGAAAGCGGCGGAGCGAGAGACTAGGAGTACCGAGCGACCTAGACTAGGCGTGAAATCGTGGATCGCCAGCTACAGGTGCGAGGAGCGAGGTATGAGCGGCTAAAACGGCTCTAACCTAGGTGACCGGCGAGAGAGAGCGGCTGCCAGCCGCTGAGGGATAGACCAGTGTCAGCAGAGCTGGGGAGGGCCCCGCGCACAAGGCGGTGGTGGGGCTAAGGTGATGAACAGTGAGAGAGGGGCGGGGAGGCCGAATGCGACGGTGAAAATGGGCGGGAGGAGGATCTGACGGTGGGAAATGGGCGGGGAGGGGAGGTTGACGCGACGGGCAAGGGAGGGCGACGGGATTGGGAGGGGAGGGCGACGCGACGGGCAGGGGGAAGGGAGGCGACGCGACGGGCAGGGGAAGGGGAGGCGAACGCGACGGGCAGGAGGAGGGGAGGCGACGCGACGGGCAGGAGGAGGGGAGGCGACGCGACGGGCAGGAGGAGGGGAGGCGACGCGACGGGCAGGGGGAAGGGAGGCGACGCGACGGGCAGGAGGAGGGGAGGCGAACGCGACGGGCAGGAGGAGGGGAGGCGACGCGACGGGGAGGGGAAGGGGAGGCGACGCGACGGGCAGGGGGAAGGGAGGCGACGCGACGGGCAGGGGGAAGGGAGGCGACGCGACGGGCAGGAGGAGGGGAGGCGAACGCGACGGGCAGGAGGAGGGGAGGCGACGCGACGGGGAGGGGAAGGGGAGGGGTGGCGACGCGACGGGGAGGGGGAGGGCGCGACGGGCAGGGGGAGGGCGCGACGGGCAGGGGGAGGGCGCGACGGTCAAGGGGGAGGGCGCGACGGGCAGGGGGAGGGCGCGACAGTGGGAGGGGCCGGGCTAGGCGCGCGGTGAGGGCGTGGAGGGCGCGGAGGGTACTAACGTGCGGAGGGCGCGGAGGGCACGAACGTGCGGAGGGCGCGGGGGGCACGGAAGGGCGGCCCGAGGGGCGCACTAAGGGGCGCGACGTGGGGCGGGCTGAGGGCCGCGCTAAGGGGCGCGAGGGCGCTAGGAGCGCGGAGGGCGCGGAGGGCGCTAGGCGTGACGGAGGGCGCGGAGGGCGCTAGGCGCTACGGAGGGCGCGAGGGCGCGGAACGGAGGGCGCGCCGGCTAGGGCGGGGAGGGAGGATCGATACCTACTCGTGATACCATCTCAGAATCTACATGCAACGGAATGATTGGGATTAGGGTTTGCAAGCATACAAATAGGAGTCCTACAAATGTTGTACCCTCTAGGGAGTGCCTCACTGCAGCCTATCATAACATTAACATTTGACACCAGCCAACCACGCAGCCAGCAGACCTGCCAACAAGCCGACCAGCCAAGCAGCTAACCGACAAGTCCATATCCAGCCAGCCAGACAATCAACCATCAAACCAACCAACCAGCCTGCCAGCCAGCCCATCAGCCAACCAGCGAACCAACCAGCCAGCCAGACAGCCTGCCTGCCTGCCAACCAGTTAGCCAATCTACCAAGCAACCAGCTAGCTATAAGGTTCTCCCTTCATCAGTTGCACAACCGAGGCTTTGCTCCCATGGAAGATACACCGTACAACTACATGCTGTGTTAGAAATGTTGTACTATTAGAGATCATGCATGGTCATTGTGGGGAATAATTTGTTAGTTTGCATAAAGCAGGCCAATATCAGCTTTCATGAAAGCATTATCCGTAAAATCGGGAAGCGATTCCCATGTTGCGACATTATTATCGCGGCATTCTTGTGGTGCATTCACACGTGTCGATTGGCTGGCGTGAGCATTTCGCGAGCATGGAACAAAATTATTGGTGCCCGCCAGTAGGTTTTGTTCAGGTCCGTGGTCGGTGTACCACCACTTGCGAAGCTGATGTCCACATCAATCAGAGCAAGCATGTTTTCGGCCTTGCTCTCTGGGTAAGGACGACTTGATCTTCCCGATTGAACCTCTCACGATAACTGGCTTCCTAAGATTCTGCGGGTTTCATGCGTGTCTTCCATGGTCTCCAAAGCAGGCGGGCGTTTTTCCACAGCAGCGCCAGCATGTACTGCCCTCAATCCACGTCGGGGATCGAGAGTGTGTGCTCCTGATCACCGGAATCATCCGTCCCACGTCAATATCATCGTTGTCGCGATTCAGGTTGATTATATTGGTGAAGTCCACGTCAGACTTGCGCACAAGAAAAACGAAAACCTCCGCACCGCAGACCACCCGTGCGAGAGGCTTCATCCCGCCAGCCACATCAGCCCCAATTATTCTGATTCCTTATCCCCTTTCCGCACACTGGATGACCCAAGGCGCAAACTGAACTCCAGCGCGCGCGCAAACTGAAACATCACCCCCCAAGCGGAAACCTTTCAGGCGTCGTCAGATCAGAATCCTCGCAGAATTCGAACCAATCCACTTTCAGCGCAGAGAACTGCCCAGCCCTGGGCACACTGCGGTGTGCCTAAATCCATGATGCGACGGGGTCCGCGGAATCCACGTCCTTCAATCTCCGCCAGTCCGCCCCACCCCTCCCCCCCGTCTGTGCTCCTCTGGTCCGCACAGAGGAATTTCGTTTCTGTACGGTACTGTGAAGGGGGGATTCTCTGCCTCGCGGGGGAGCAGGAGCAACAGAAGGAGCACGCACACACTGTCATCCAGCAGGCACAAAGAGAGAGACCCAAGTCCTAGGCGAGGAGAGAAAGCACCTGGATGTGTGCTTGGAGGCAGAGGAGGACGTACATCTGCCTCCTCGCAATCCCCAGCAGGGGGGAGCGCCTATATCTTGTGGTTCACAACCCACTTCATCACGGAGCCCTAGCAACCAGCATTCCACCGTGTCTGCTTTGCTGTGCTCTCGTCCTTGGTCGAGTGAAATCCCCTCCACTCGCGCCGTATTTCAACACTATTGTTGGTGATTATTTGAGGACGTGCTATTTCTGTCGCTGCCCCTCATCCTAAGGACCAGAGCGATTTAGTTGTTCTGTACCCCAAGCTGAAACTGTGAAGCGCCTTATAGTTCACATCTCACTGGCCAGAGCGATTTAGTTGTTCTGTACCCCAAGCTGAAACTGTGAAGCGCCTTATAGTTCACATCTCACTGGCTGATTTAGCTTCACACGTCCAAATTGAATATCGCTCTTGTCTAGGGTTCGTTCGGTAGCCATGAGTACCTGCGGAGTCCTCCCCGCCGTGACCCTGCACTGCATGGGTGAACAGGAGGCAACGGCGGTCGCGTCTGTTGCCGGATCATGGCAGTACGCCGACCTGCAGCGCGGAACAAACTCTGTCCCCTTCCGTCCTTCGCTGCGTGAATGCTCAGTCGGATTCCCTGGTTCCATCGCCTAGCATGGCCTCATTAGCCAGTTCAGCTAAGGGTCTTCTCGTGAACGCGGACCAGATTACAGCGGCCACTGACCTGTGAGTCTCTCGCACCATAATACCTGGGGTCACATTGGACCGTTCAAGTACTTTTGGTCGTATAAATTCATTCTTCTCGGCTTTTCTCCCCCGTCACCTTTCCTTCCCGCCAGGTTCACCAGCAGTTCCGTTAGTCAGCAGCGAATGTCGCAGGATTCACTGCTACAGCCGCGGGATTTCCAGCCTCAGTCGAGGGATTCGCAACCTCAGTCGCCGGATTTGCAACCTCAGTCACGGGATTCGGAAAATCAGTCCCAGGACCTGCAACTTCAGTCTCAGGGAAAGAGCGGCTGGTCGTCCGCGGTGGTCCTCGGCTCAGGGCTCAGCGTCACAGCCATGGCGGGAGCGCATATGGCGGCGTACGGATCGCCCACATATATCCTGGACCTGCTTACCTCGCTCGGGTTGTCAGTCGATATCAGGTGCTGTTCTCAGCCCGTTCCCCCTACGCAATCACCTGGTCTGCCTATTGTCACTCAACCGGTTCATTGATTTGGAAAAAAAAAGGCGGTCATCGTTACATGTTACCAATGTTTCGTTCTGTCCATTTTTGTTCATCGTGCTGTCCGCAGAGTTCTCGAGGCCTCAGCGTTCTCGCTCTGGCACGTGTCGGACGGCGCCGACAATCAGATGTCGCTGCTCATCTTCTTCCTCATGACGGCCCTCTGCGCTGCCGCCGCTGCCACCCTCAAGCTCTCTCCCCTGCCCGCAGCTCCACGTGCGACCATTTCCTGCAGCGAGAGCGAGAGCGAGAGCGAGCAGAGCAGCATGGCTAGCACCAACAGCATTACTCCGGTGGAGGTGGCCTGCGACCGTGTCGGCCAGGAGGAATCGAAGGTCGAGGCGAGCTCGAGCGGCGCTAGTCGCTCATCGGCTTGGTTCTCCTTCTCCTTCTCCAGCCGCTCGGCCACCCCGCCGGAGGCTAGCGCTCCTTCTCCCTGCACCCCTTCTCCCCATGTCGTTCCGGAACCCGTTGTCGCACGAAGCGCCACGGAACCCAGCACTAGCCCCAGCAGCAGCAGCAGCAGCAGCAGCAGCAGTGGTGTTTTTTTCCCGTCCAGCATCAGCCTGCCTGGTTACTGGTTCCCTTTCTCCGCCTCTAACTCGACCTCCGTCACGCCCTCGCCCTCACCAGCGCAGTCCGACTCGTCGACAGTGTCAGCAGCGGAATCGACGGTCAGCAGCGAGAAGTCCGTCACGTCCCTGCCCGCCCTCATAGCGGCTTCGCCGATTCCCCTCGCTGCCCCGTCCGCGGGCCTGGGCCTGTCGTCGACCCGTGGCAGCGCGTTTCTTCGGCTGGACTTGGAGGAGGATTTGAGCGACGCGTCGAGCGACGAGGAGCAGGATCAGGAGGAGGAGGAGGGGGAGGAGGTACGGGAGCTCGAGTGCGGGGCGCAGGAAGGGGTGAAAGCGGGCCTGCCGTTGTCCCGCAGTATGCCGAGCAGCCTTTGCCTGACGTTGCCGAGGAGCATGAGCATGAGCATGAGCATGGGCATGGGCATGGGCATGAATATCTCCAGCAGCATCTCTCAGGGGCTGAGCAGCGCAAGCAGCGCGAGCAGCAGCGCGTGGAGCAACGTGGCGCAGTGGTCGCAGAGCATGATGAAGTCCCCGGTGTCGCTGTCGCTGGGCGACTCGCCTGCCGTGCTCGTCAGGGTATGCCTTGCTGTGCTGCTGCCATGATTCGTCCCTGTGAGGCCGTGAGGCTGTGCCTCGTGGCTGTTGGCTCTTACTGCTTTTCGTGATTATTTGCTGCATTGTGGACATAATTTTTATTGAGTTTCTCTTCGCTCGTTTTCCTTCAACTGAACGTTTTCCTCTCTTTTTTTCTCCCGCTTGTCGCTCCACAGCCTGTCGCAGCTCTTCTCGTCTTCTTCACGGTCCATGGCTGCTCTACCCACCGTCCTGAGCGAGTCGTCGCTCGACGATAAGAGGTATGCAGATAGCGCACCTCTTAGACATTCGTTTATAGCACGCTGTGATCTGTTTCACAGGCCTACTCTGGTCGTGTTATTGCTCCCCATCCCTCTCCATGTTTTCCGCGCCGCTCCTTCCGAGTCCCCTCCACCTCTTCCATCTCACCTCTCAACCCGCCTGTTTCCCCCTTCCCCCCATCGTCCCCCCTGTTTCTCCGCAGCGCCGTCATCAACAGCGACCCCGCGGAGCTCCGCGATCGCGCCATGGGCTTCCCCCTCCCCGCCGACCCCGCCCTGGCGCGCCTGCACGGAGCGGACACGCGCGCGGTGGAGGCGGAGGTGCGGGAGGCGACGGCGCTGGTGGGCACGCGGGACCTGGCGGCGCTAATGCTGCGGCTGGACTGGTCGTACGACGACGAGCAGGGCCCGTGGGAGATGATCATTGACAAGCACAGCAGTGACGTCGAGTACATGACTTTGCGCCGCGACCCGCAGGTAGGAGGAGAGGCTGGGAGAGGCAGCGGGGAGAGGAACTGGGGGGCTGGATTGGAGCTTTTAGTGCGGGCAGTGCACGGTGATAGTGGGTGGGTGGGTGGATGGGACGAGTGTGACGGGCGTGTGGTGGAAGGTCACGCGTCAGATCATTGATTCAGGGCCTGGGGGTCTCGTTTGTGCGTTCACGTGCCACGTCAGCCATACTTGCCTTGCCCATGTTTACTGAGTATATTCCCGTGTGTGTGCCCACTCACAATTTTGCAGGACGGTGGCGTGACGGAGTACCGGTCGCGCATCCGCTTCATAGGCGCGTCTGCGCGTGACACATGTGCGTTCTACACGGACTGCGCGTACATGCCGCGCTGGGACCCCATGCTGCGCTCCATGGCGCCCCTCCTCGCCTGCCCCGCCACCGGCGTGCAGAGCGCGTGCTTCGAGCGCAAGTACCCCTTCTGCGCGCCCCGCGAGTATGTGCTCGCGTGGCGAGTGTGGCAGCAGGGGGAGAGTGCGGAGGTGGCTGGGGTGCAAGGCGGCGAGAGCGAGGGCGAGACGTTCTTCTGTATCACCAAGGCGGTGGAGGATGCGAGTGTGCCGCGGAAGAACAAGCCACGGCACGTGGACGTGTACCGATCAGAGTGGCGCATGAAAGATGGTACGCTGCTGCTGCTCCGTCCCTTATCCCCCCTTCCATTCCACCCTGAAAAACCGCTGTTCTTCCTTCCACAGTGATCCTGATGTCTCCTCGTTTTCTGTTCTGTTTCTGTGCCCGCCCGTGTGGCTGTGCCATGCAGTGGTGCTCCCGGATGGCAGGATAGCAGCAGAGATGGACATGATTGTGCAGGAGGACAGCGGCATGCAGAGAGACATGGCCAAACTGGCATACCGCCGTGGAGCATGGGGCTACATCCGCAGCACGGACTCTCACCTGCGGTCATACATCAAGGAGCACAGCCCCTCGCATACGGGCAAGCAGCAAGCTTGCAATGGTGCCGTGCTGGAGCAAGTAGCAGGAGCATCACCACCTCGCGTGCTGCCTCCGCTGTCTGTGGTGAAGCAGGTCAGTGGGAGCTGAGGCGCACATTTGCTGCAAGTTTACACTCTGCTGCAACTTGTTACGAGTTGTGCTTCTCTTGTGCCGTTGGTGTGGTGTGTTCTCATGTGCTCTTTACTGCCTGCCTTCTATGCTTCCGGTATTGCAGGTGCCATCTCACCTGATCCCCGAGGGTACACCTGATGCTGCCTTCCACGCTCATTGCCGGCAGACAGCCACTGCAGCTCCTAGCTTTGCCATTGCAGCAGCAGTTGCAGAGGCCCAGAAGTTGCATACGGTTGGCACTGCAGCACTGCACACAAGTGCAGGTGATCATAAGGCAGCAGCTGGAAACTCTGCAGTTGAGGGTGTAACTGGTCAGTCGCAGCTGACACAAGAGGATCAGCAGCACCAGCAAAAGCGGGGGAGGCGGTTCAGGCCACTGGCTGTGATTCGTCATTTGATCATGCCAGCAGCTACAGTTGCTGCTGTTGGGCTAGGTGGTGGCGGATTGCTGTGCCTAAATGGCGGAGCTGTGGGGACCGCCAGGTGTTGCTTGTTCTGACTGTCCGCTCATTGGTGCTGCGACCTCGTGCTTCTTCAACCATTGAGTTGACTTCTCGTCAGCAGCTGTAGGGAGGAAGAGGGTTGAGTGAGATGGGTGATTGCATACCATGGTTGCATTTTGGTAACAAATGGTGGACAGCAATGTTTTTATCATTTGGTATCTGCAGTGGTTCTTCAATAATTTTTGTTGGCTCCTAACAGCAATTTGTTTTGTGTAGAGGCCTCAGCCGGCGGGTCACCTGACCTAGTCGCTACACAAGCACCTAGAGCAGCAACACAAGCACCTAAGCTAGACAGGCACAAGGCTACACTAGCAGGAGGCAAGCAGGCTAACCTACGAACACGCGAGCACACAGATCCATCAGCACTAAAGTTAGCATCAACATACAAAGCATGCTGACGCGCATCGTCCATGGACAAATCAAAGACATCAATCTTACGGGCTAACAGACGAGACCAGCGAGGCGTGACCGCCAGCGGGCCCCAACGAGCCCGATAGAGGTCGTCGAGGCGGCGGAAGCACCGCGCGGCAGAGTGGTCGTCGTGACCACAGAGACAAGGGCTCCCCGGCCCGGTGACGCACCAGTGGGTGCACGGGCCAGCGTCACGGCGAGGGGGGCGAGGGGCCCAGCTGGAAGTATTGCTGCTGCGGCTGGTGCTCCCAGGGCCGCCCGGACCCCACTGCGGCGGGGGACCCCAGTGCTGCTGCGGACCCCACTGCAGCGGGGGTGAGTCACTAGGTCGGAAACAGTCGCAAACGAGCCTAGGTCGGGAAACACAAACGGCATGAGGAGGCGACTGAGGGAGGCAGAGGAGGGGGTGGAGTAGCGAGCAACAATAGCCTCCCAAACCCCCTGTGCAGTCTCCACCTGGTCAAAGTGGGCGGCCTCAGTCGGGGGGAGAAGCTCCGACAGAGTGAGAGCGGCGGCTGCGTCAGGCGAGAGCCACACGTCCCTGGCCAGGACCCGACGGTCGTAGTCCGCCTGTGCCGTAGGGGTCGGCTCCGGGGTGGTCAGCAGGGCGGCGGGGGACGGGGGGGCCTGTAGGGCACCAGACGCGTGAGCCCACAGGGTGGCGCCGTCCTGTCGCTGGCTGGTGAGGAAGCGTGTGGTATGGCGCTGCCAGGTACCGAACTCGATTGGACGTCCCTCCGCATCGAAACGGAGGCGACGGGCCTCCATAGCGGAGCCCATGCTAGAGGCGGCTGGAGCACGGCGGAGGCGGAGCTAAGAACGAGGAGGAAAACTACGGAGCGCCAGGAGAGAAAGCGGCGGAGCGAGAGACTAGGAGTACCGAGCGACCTAGACTAGGCGTGAAATCGTGGATCGCCAGCTACAGGTGCGAGGAGCGAGGTATGAGCGGCTAAAACGGCTCTAACCTAGGTGACCGGCGAGAGAGAGCGGCTGCCAGCCGCTGAGGGATAGACCAGTGTCAGCAGAGCTGGGGAGGGCCCCGCGCACAAGGCGGTGGTGGGGCTAAGGTGATGAACAGTGAGAGAGGGGCGGGGAGGCCGAATGCGACGGTGAAAATGGGCGGGAGGAGGATCTGACGGTGGGAAATGGGCGGGGAGGGGAGGTTGACGCGACGGGCAAGGGAGGGCGACGGGATTGGGAGGGGAGGGCGACGCGACGGGCAGGGGGAAGGGAGGCGACGCGACGGGCAGGGGAAGGGGAGGCGAACGCGACGGGCAGGAGGAGGGGAGGCGACGCGACGGGCAGGAGGAGGGGAGGCGACGCGACGGGCAGGAGGAGGGGAGGCGACGCGACGGGCAGGGGGAAGGGAGGCGACGCGACGGGCAGGAGGAGGGGAGGCGAACGCGACGGGCAGGAGGAGGGGAGGCGACGCGACGGGGAGGGGAAGGGGAGGCGACGCGACGGGCAGGGGGAAGGGAGGCGACGCGACGGGCAGGGGGAAGGGAGGCGACGCGACGGGCAGGAGGAGGGGAGGCGAACGCGACGGGCAGGAGGAGGGGAGGCGACGCGACGGGGAGGGGAAGGGGAGGGGTGGCGACGCGACGGGGAGGGGGAGGGCGCGACGGGCAGGGGGAGGGCGCGACGGGCAGGGGGAGGGCGCGACGGTCAAGGGGGAGGGCGCGACGGGCAGGGGGAGGGCGCGACAGTGGGAGGGGCCGGGCTAGGCGCGCGGTGAGGGCGTGGAGGGCGCGGAGGGTACTAACGTGCGGAGGGCGCGGAGGGCACGAACGTGCGGAGGGCGCGGGGGGCACGGAAGGGCGGCCCGAGGGGCGCACTAAGGGGCGCGACGTGGGGCGGGCTGAGGGCCGCGCTAAGGGGCGCGAGGGCGCTAGGAGCGCGGAGGGCGCGGAGGGCGCTAGGCGTGACGGAGGGCGCGGAGGGCGCTAGGCGCTACGGAGGGCGCGAGGGCGCGGAACGGAGGGCGCGCCGGCTAGGGCGGGGAGGGAGGATCGATACCTACTCGTGATACCATCTCAGAATCTACATGCAACGGAATGATTGGGATTAGGGTTTGCAAGCATACAAATAGGAGTCCTACAAATGTTGTACCCTCTAGGGAGTGCCTCACTGCAGCCTATCATAACATTAACATTTGACACCAGCCAACCACGCAGCCAGCAGACCTGCCAACAAGCCGACCAGCCAAGCAGCTAACCGACAAGTCCATATCCAGCCAGCCAGACAATCAACCATCAAACCAACCAACCAGCCTGCCAGCCAGCCCATCAGCCAACCAGCGAACCAACCAGCCAGCCAGACAGCCTGCCTGCCTGCCAACCAGTTAGCCAATCTACCAAGCAACCAGCTAGCTATAAGGTTCTCCCTTCATCAGTTGCACAACCGAGGCTTTGCTCCCATGGAAGATACACCGTACAACTACATGCTGTGTTAGAAATGTTGTACTATTAGAGATCATGCATGGTCATTGTGGGGAATAATTTGTTAGTTTGCATAAAGCAGGCCAATATCAGCTTTCATGAAAGCATTATCCGTAAAATCGGGAAGCGATTCCCATGTTGCGACATTATTATCGCGGCATTCTTGTGGTGCATTCACACGTGTCGATTGGCTGGCGTGAGCATTTCGCGAGCATGGAACAAAATTATTGGTGCCCGCCAGTAGGTTTTGTTCAGGTCCGTGGTCGGTGTACCACCACTTGCGAAGCTGATGTCCACATCAATCAGAGCAAGCATGTTTTCGGCCTTGCTCTCTGGGTAAGGACGACTTGATCTTCCCGATTGAACCTCTCACGATAACTGGCTTCCTAAGATTCTGCGGGTTTCATGCGTGTCTTCCATGGTCTCCAAAGCAGGCGGGCGTTTTTCCACAGCAGCGCCAGCATGTACTGCCCTCAATCCACGTCGGGGATCGAGAGTGTGTGCTCCTGATCACCGGAATCATCCGTCCCACGTCAATATCATCGTTGTCGCGATTCAGGTTGATTATATTGGTGAAGTCCACGTCAGACTTGCGCACAAGAAAAACGAAAACCTCCGCACCGCAGACCACCCGTGCGAGAGGCTTCATCCCGCCAGCCACATCAGCCCCAATTATTCTGATTCCTTATCCCCTTTCCGCACACTGGATGACCCAAGGCGCAAACTGAACTCCAGCGCGCGCGCAAACTGAAACATCACCCCCCAAGCGGAAACCTTTCAGGCGTCGTCAGATCAGAATCCTCGCAGAATTCGAACCAATCCACTTTCAGCGCAGAGAACTGCCCAGCCCTGGGCACACTGCGGTGTGCCTAAATCCATGATGCGACGGGGTCCGCGGAATCCACGTCCTTCAATCTCCGCCAGTCCGCCCCACCCCTCCCCCCCGTCTGTGCTCCTCTGGTCCGCACAGAGGAATTTCGTTTCTGTACGGTACTGTGAAGGGGGGATTCTCTGCCTCGCGGGGGAGCAGGAGCAACAGAAGGAGCACGCACACACTGTCATCCAGCAGGCACAAAGAGAGAGACCCAAGTCCTAGGCGAGGAGAGAAAGCACCTGGATGTGTGCTTGGAGGCAGAGGAGGACGTACATCTGCCTCCTCGCAATCCCCAGCAGGGGGGAGCGCCTATATCTTGTGGTTCACAACCCACTTCATCACGGAGCCCTAGCAACCAGCATTCCACCGTGTCTGCTTTGCTGTGCTCTCGTCCTTGGTCGAGTGAAATCCCCTCCACTCGCGCCGTATTTCAACACTATTGTTGGTGATTATTTGAGGACGTGCTATTTCTGTCGCTGCCCCTCATCCTAAGGACCAGAGCGATTTAGTTGTTCTGTACCCCAAGCTGAAACTGTGAAGCGCCTTATAGTTCACATCTCACTGGCCAGAGCGATTTAGTTGTTCTGTACCCCAAGCTGAAACTGTGAAGCGCCTTATAGTTCACATCTCACTGGCTGATTTAGCTTCACACGTCCAAATTGAATATCGCTCTTGTCTAGGGTTCGTTCGGTAGCCATGAGTACCTGCGGAGTCCTCCCCGCCGTGACCCTGCACTGCATGGGTGAACAGGAGGCAACGGCGGTCGCGTCTGTTGCCGGATCATGGCAGTACGCCGACCTGCAGCGCGGAACAAACTCTGTCCCCTTCCGTCCTTCGCTGCGTGAATGCTCAGTCGGATTCCCTGGTTCCATCGCCTAGCATGGCCTCATTAGCCAGTTCAGCTAAGGGTCTTCTCGTGAACGCGGACCAGATTACAGCGGCCACTGACCTGTGAGTCTCTCGCACCATAATACCTGGGGTCACATTGGACCGTTCAAGTACTTTTGGTCGTATAAATTCATTCTTCTCGGCTTTTCTCCCCCGTCACCTTTCCTTCCCGCCAGGTTCACCAGCAGTTCCGTTAGTCAGCAGCGAATGTCGCAGGATTCACTGCTACAGCCGCGGGATTTCCAGCCTCAGTCGAGGGATTCGCAACCTCAGTCGCCGGATTTGCAACCTCAGTCACGGGATTCGGAAAATCAGTCCCAGGACCTGCAACTTCAGTCTCAGGGAAAGAGCGGCTGGTCGTCCGCGGTGGTCCTCGGCTCAGGGCTCAGCGTCACAGCCATGGCGGGAGCGCATATGGCGGCGTACGGATCGCCCACATATATCCTGGACCTGCTTACCTCGCTCGGGTTGTCAGTCGATATCAGGTGCTGTTCTCAGCCCGTTCCCCCTACGCAATCACCTGGTCTGCCTATTGTCACTCAACCGGTTCATTGATTTGGAAAAAAAAAAGGCGGTCATCGTTACATGTTACCAATGTTTCGTTCTGTCCATTTTTGTTCATCGTGCTGTCCGCAGAGTTCTCGAGGCCTCAGCGTTCTCGCTCTGGCACGTGTCGGACGGCGCCGACAATCAGATGTCGCTGCTCATCTTCTTCCTCATGACGGCCCTCTGCGCTGCCGCCGCTGCCACCCTCAAGCTCTCTCCCCTGCCCGCAGCTCCACGTGCGACCATTTCCTGCAGCGAGAGCGAGAGCGAGAGCGAGCAGAGCAGCATGGCTAGCACCAACAGCATTACTCCGGTGGAGGTGGCCTGCGACCGTGTCGGCCAGGAGGAATCGAAGGTCGAGGCGAGCTCGAGCGGCGCTAGTCGCTCATCGGCTTGGTTCTCCTTCTCCTTCTCCAGCCGCTCGGCCACCCCGCCGGAGGCTAGCGCTCCTTCTCCCTGCACCCCTTCTCCCCATGTCGTTCCGGAACCCGTTGTCGCACGAAGCGCCACGGAACCCAGCACTAGCCCCAGCAGCAGCAGCAGCAGCAGCAGCAGCAGCAGTGGTGTTTTTTTCCCGTCCAGCATCAGCCTGCCTGGTTACTGGTTCCCTTTCTCCGCCTCTAACTCGACCTCCGTCACGCCCTCGCCCTCACCAGCGCAGTCCGACTCGTCGACAGTGTCAGCAGCGGAATCGACGGTCAGCAGCGAGAAGTCCGTCACGTCCCTGCCCGCCCTCATAGCGGCTTCGCCGATTCCCCTCGCTGCCCCGTCCGCGGGCCTGGGCCTGTCGTCGACCCGTGGCAGCGCGTTTCTTCGGCTGGACTTGGAGGAGGATTTGAGCGACGCGTCGAGCGACGAGGAGCAGGATCAGGAGGAGGAGGAGGGGGAGGAGGTACGGGAGCTCGAGTGCGGGGCGCAGGAAGGGGTGAAAGCGGGCCTGCCGTTGTCCCGCAGTATGCCGAGCAGCCTTTGCCTGACGTTGCCGAGGAGCATGAGCATGAGCATGAGCATGGGCATGGGCATGGGCATGAATATCTCCAGCAGCATCTCTCAGGGGCTGAGCAGCGCAAGCAGCGCGAGCAGCAGCGCGTGGAGCAACGTGGCGCAGTGGTCGCAGAGCATGATGAAGTCCCCGGTGTCGCTGTCGCTGGGCGACTCGCCTGCCGTGCTCGTCAGGGTATGCCTTGCTGTGCTGCTGCCATGATTCGTCCCTGTGAGGCCGTGAGGCTGTGCCTCGTGGCTGTTGGCTCTTACTGCTTTTCGTGATTATTTGCTGCATTGTGGACATAATTTTTATTGAGTTTCTCTTCGCTCGTTTTCCTTCAACTGAACGTTTTCCTCTTTTTTTTTCTCCCGCTTGTCGCTCCACAGCCTGTCGCAGCTCTTCTCGTCTTCTTCACGGTCCATGGCTGCTCTACCCACCGTCCTGAGCGAGTCGTCGCTCGACGATAAGAGGTATGCAGATAGCGCACCTCTTAGACATTCGTTTATAGCACGCTGTGATCTGTTTCACAGGCCTACTCTGGTCGTGTTATTGCTCCCCATCCCTCTCCATGTTTTCCGCGCCGCTCCTTCCGAGTCCCCTCCACCTCTTCCATCTCACCTCTCAACCCGCCTGTTTCCCCCTTCCCCCCATCGTCCCCCCTGTTTCTCCGCAGCGCCGTCATCAACAGCGACCCCGCGGAGCTCCGCGATCGCGCCATGGGCTTCCCCCTCCCCGCCGACCCCGCCCTGGCGCGCCTGCACGGAGCGGACACGCGCGCGGTGGAGGCGGAGGTGCGGGAGGCGACGGCGCTGGTGGGCACGCGGGACCTGGCGGCGCTAATGCTGCGGCTGGACTGGTCGTACGACGACGAGCAGGGCCCGTGGGAGATGATCATTGACAAGCACAGCAGTGACGTCGAGTACATGACTTTGCGCCGCGACCCGCAGGTAGGAGGAGAGGCTGGGAGAGGCAGCGGGGAGAGGAACTGGGGGGCTGGATTGGAGCTTTTAGGGCGGGCAGTGCACGGTGATAGTGGGTGGGTGGGTGGATGGGACGAGTGTGACGGGCGTGTGGTGGAAGGTCACGCGTCAGATCATTGATTCAGGGCCTGGGGGTCTCGTTTGTGCGTTCACGTGCCACGTCAGCCATACTTGCCTTGCCCATGTTTACTGAGTATATTCCCGTGTGTGTGCCCACTCACAATTTTGCAGGACGGTGGCGTGACGGAGTACCGGTCGCGCATCCGCTTCATAGGCGCGTCTGCGCGTGACACATGTGCGTTCTACACGGACTGCGCGTACATGCCGCGCTGGGACCCCATGCTGCGCTCCATGGCGCCCCTCCTCGCCTGCCCCGCCACCGGCGTGCAGAGCGCGTGCTTCGAGCGCAAGTACCCCTTCTGCGCGCCCCGCGAGTATGTGCTCGCGTGGCGAGTGTGGCAGCAGGGGGAGAGTGCGGAGGTGGCTGGGGTGCAAGGCGGCGAGAGCGAGGGCGAGACGTTCTTCTGTATCACCAAGGCGGTGGAGGATGCGAGTGTGCCGCGGAAGAACAAGCCACGGCGCGTGGACGTGTACCGATCAGAGTGGCGCATGAAAGATGGTACGCTGCTGCTGCTCCGTCCCTTATCCCCCCTTCCATTCCACCCTGAAAAACCGCTGTTCTTCCTTCCACAGTGATCCTGATGTCTCCTCGTTTTCTGTTCTGTTTCTGTGCCCGCCCGTGTGGCTGTGCCATGCAGTGGTGCTCCCGGATGGCAGGATAGCAGCAGAGATGGACATGATTGTGCAGGAGGACAGCGGCATGCAGAGAGACATGGCCAAACTGGCATACCGCCGTGGAGCATGGGGCTACATCCGCAGCACGGACTCTCACCTGCGGTCATACATCAAGGAGCACAGCCCCTCGCATACGGGCAAGCAGCAAGCTTGCAATGGTGCCGTGCTGGAGCAAGTAGCAGGAGCATCACCACCTCGCGTGCTGCCTCCGCTGTCTGTGGTGAAGCAGGTCAGTGGGAGCTGAGGCGCACATTTGCTGCAAGTTTACACTCTGCTGCAACTTGTTACGAGTTGTGCTTCTCTTGTGCCGTTGGTGTGGTGTGTTCTCATGTGCTCTTTACTGCCTGCCTTCTATGCTTCCGGTATTGCAGGTGCCATCTCACCTGATCCCCGAGGGTACACCTGATGCTGCCTTCCACGCTCATTGCCGGCAGACAGCCACTGCAGCTCCTAGCTTTGCCATTGCAGCAGCAGTTGCAGAGGCCCAGAAGTTGCATACGGTTGGCACTGCAGCACTGCACACAAGTGCAGGTGATCATAAGGCAGCAGCTGGAAACTCTGCAGTTGAGGGTGTAACTGGTCAGTCGCAGCTGACACAAGAGGATCAGCAGCACCAGCAAAAGCGGGGGAGGCGGTTCAGGCCACTGGCTGTGATTCGTCATTTGATCATGCCAGCAGCTACAGTTGCTGCTGTTGGGCTAGGTGGTGGCGGATTGCTGTGCCTAAATGGCGGAGCTGTGGGGATCGCCAGGTGTTGCTTGTTCTGACTGTCCGCTCATTGGTGCTGCGACCTCGTGCTTCTTCAACCATTGAGTTGACTTCTCGTCAGCAGCTGTAGGGAGGAAGAGGGTTGAGTGAGATGGGTGATTGCATACCATGGTTGCATTTTGGTAACAAATGGTGGACAGCAATGTTTTTATCATTTGGTATCTGCAGTGGTTCTTCAATAATTTTTGTTGGCTCCTAACAGCAATTTGTTTTGTGTGTAAAGTTGATCTTCATGATTGCAATGCAGTTTTGTTTTTAATAAACCCTAAACCGCTTGTGATTTACCAGTATATGAACTGCTTTGTATATAATTTTAGGGCCAATATCATATAGATCGTCAGTGTTGCAGAATTTATGGAGCCTAAACACTTACCGAGACGCATGTATATCTCAAAGTACGCCATAGAGGTTGGGCGCTGGGCAGGTCTCGAGGCAACCCCTGGGAGTGTATTCCGCCTTTCGGCTGCTTCAGCTGTACCCCGTGAGAATCACCAAGCCCAAGACTGTCCCTGCCTGCCTTCCCCCTCTCAGCCGGTGTGGGTGGATCCGCTCGTGCTAGTCTACTACCAAGCGGATGACTGCTTGTCAACTCCCACACCGCATCTCATGCCATTCCTAGTCCAACTTATTATGGATGCAACTATCGGCTCGCCGTCCTTCTCTTACCTGCGTTGGGTTACTGCCACTGGCGGAACTAGCTCGTCGCGAATCTACAGCTAGCCGAAGGAGTCAAACAGGAATCTATTTGGGTTTTAAGGATTCTCGAGTTTTGAACCCCTGTTTTCCTTGGTCTTTGAATCAAGTCATTCTGCTCGATTTGATCATATCCGTCACGCGACCTGCTTTCCCTACCGTTATATCCAGCTGGATCTTGGAGTTTATTCAAATCGCCGACGGAATTTGTTTTCCGAGAGATCCGTAACCTGCCTTGAGGATTCGGATCTTGCGCGAGTCACGCCATCTCCGGTGGCATGGAGCGATCATTCCAGAGCGCGCAGCACAGCACTGGCGGCCACAACCAGTCGTCATGGCGGCAAGAGCCGACGGGTGCTTTCGCGGAAGATGAAAAACCGGCGGATTCGGCGGCTCCTCACCTCCGTGGCCCTGTGCGAAGCTTCAAGTCGTCGACGCGCGACAAGAGTGGTGAGCGTCGCACGTCGCGCGAGCGTGGAGAGGAGCACGGTGCGAGGCACGACCCTGGGGAGCATCGGCAACGGCACTCGCAGCCGCAGCAGCAGCTGCAGCAACGTGAGGAAGGCCCGGACGGACACTACACGGCGTGGGAGGAGGACGAGCGGTATCAGCAGCAGCAGCGGCGCGAGGAGCGGTCCCGCCAACATCGCCCGCACGGCGGACGTGCGCACACGAGCTTCCGCGCTGCGCCCGCGGGTGCGGACGAAGAGGCGGTGTGGGAAAGGCCGAAGCATCGCGAGAGGCGGAGTGAGAGGGGAAGAACAAGCGACAAGGAGTGGGGGTGGGAGGAGGGGGAGGATATCGGCAAAGGTCGGGAGAAAGATCGGAGTTTCGAGAAGGAGGCTTTTGCGGGCGCGGAGGAGGAGGAGGAGGAGGAGGAGGAGGAGGAGGAGGAGGAGGAGGAGGAGGAGGAGGAGGAGGAGGAGGAGGAGGAGGAGGAGGAGGAGGAGGAGGAGGAGGAGGAGGAAGGGGAGGAGGGGGGCTTCACAACGGGCGTGGAGACCGAGCGTGCGCGCGCGAAAGATAAGCCTGCCGACGGTCACGGCCTGTCGAGCGAGGGTGCAGGAGTGGGACTGGAGGAAGGGGAGCTATCGGAAGGGGAGATCCCACTGCAAGATCGCGAGGACGGCGAGAACGAGCACGAGGGCGGGCCTGCGGCGCGGCCGCTTCCGCATAATTTCGAAGGTGGACAGCCCGCCAAGGAGCGCGGGCGGGATCTGGAAGCGGGGAGGCGGAACGCGGGAAAAGATGCGCAGTTGCCCGCGCGGGAGCAGCGCTGCTGGAGTGGGGGCTCGGCTGAGTGGGAGGAGCAGGAGGAGGATGGCTGGAAGTTGCGTATTCACGGTGAGGGAGGCAGTAGGGACGACAAGGAGGAGGAGGAGGAGGAGAAAGAGGTGAAAGAGGTGAAAGAGGTGAAAGTTGAGGAGGAGGAAGAGGAGGAGGGTCAGGTGGATGCGGGTTACGGCCACGGGGGGCAGTGGTGGCGGGAGCAGGAGCAGACGCGACGCAGGAGCGAGGAGCGGGAGCGCAAGGAGGAACGGAACGGTGGTGAGGCTGGCGAGGCGGAGAGGGGGCGGCGGGCGCAGTGGGGCGGGGTGGAGGCGGAGCAGGGCTCCCGCGGACACCACGCCCAGCGGTCCTTCTCCCGCCACGCGCAGGGCGAGGCGCTGAGGGGGCGCGCGCACAGAGAAGGCGGCGAAGAAGGCGACGGCGAGCGCCACGGGGCGGCGAGTGCGACGATCAGCAAGGGAGGAAGGGGCGACGAGGAGGGCATTTGGCGCGGCGTTGCAAGGGTGGGTGCGGGAGAGGAGGTGGGCGGGGTGAGGGAGGTGATCGTGAAGCAGGAGGAGGAGGAGGAGAGGGAGGAAGGGCAGCATGTGGAGGCGCGGAGGGAGGAGGGGGAGGGGGTGGGGTACGAGCAGGAGAGTGAGCGCAGGCGACACAGGGAGAGGCGGCATGAAGAGAGGCGTGAGCATCGAGGCGAGAGGGGCGGTGACAAGGAGGACACGCAGCGAGGGGAGGGGCATCGGCATAAGAAGAAGCGGAGGAGGTCGAGGCACGAGCAGGATCGCGAGCACGAGCATGAGTACGAGCAGAAGCAGGAGCAGCATGTGGAGCAGGGCCATGAGCACGGTTACGAGCACGAGGAGGGCGAACGGGATCTGCGTGAGAGAAGCGGGGAGTACTGGGAAGGCAAGCGCGGCGTGCCAAGTGAGGGAGATTACTATGATGGGAAGGACGGCGGGGATAAGGCGGGAAGGAGGCGGCACAGGGAGAGGCAGCGGGAGAGGGAGGGTGCAGAGGAGCAGGAGGGAAGGATGGCGGGTAGATCCGCGTCGTCTGAGAGGAGGGCGGGATCCAAGGAGCGATGGTCGTCACGGGAGAGAGGCGCTTCGCGGGAGAGAGTTGGATCGCGGGAGAGAGGTGTTTTGCGGGAAAGAGTTGGATCGCGGGAGAGAGGTGTTTTGCGGGAAAGAGTTGGATCGCGGGAGAGAGGTGTTTTGCGGGAAAGAGTTGGATCGCGAGAAAGGGAATTGGAAGGGGGGAGAGGCGCATCAGTGGAAAGGGGCGTGTCGAGGGAGCGGGGTGCATCAAGGGAGCACGGAGTGTTGAGGGCTAGAGCTGGTTCTGCTATGGAAGCTAGTGCCCCATTCACTCCGTTCCCACAGGCACACGTGGGGACTGCTGAGCAGCCGTGGGCAGCACAAGCCACACTAGAAGCAGATGCTGCTGCAGCTGCTGCTGCCGCTGCTGCTGCGGCTGCCGCCACTGCCGCTTCTGCTGCTGCTGCTGCTGCTGCTGCTGCTGCCAGCGGTGTTGACAGGGGCAGCGCTGCTCCTGGTGGTGTTGTCAGTGGCAGTGGGGTGGTCAGCGCTCCAGGCAAGGCTATGGAGGGTTCCAGGCACCGGTCTCGCTGGCAGCCTGCAGAAGAGCCCGTGCAGGGGCATGCTCCCACCGCGCCCACTGTGGGGGCAGCAGGGCAGACTGTCACAATCGCTGCTACCATGGGCGCTGGCATCCCTGCTGCTGGTATGACTGCGGCTGTGGGTGGTGCTGCAGTGAGCGCTGCCACTCCTGCAAGTGCTGTTTTGGGAGTGGCTCAGGCTGAGGGTGCGGGTGCTGGAGCGTCAAATCCCACCGCTGCTGCTGCTGGCGCCGGTGCTGCTGGTGGTAGCGGGGATGGCAAGACAGGAAAGCGCAGGCGCAGCAGGTGGGGCCCAGCGGAAGGAGACACGGCAGCAGCAGTAGCAACGGGTGGAGGCGAAGAGGCAGGAGCAGCGGCAGCAGGGGCAGCAGGAGGGGCAGCAGACGCAGGAGGGCAGCGCAAGCGAAAGAGCCGATGGGGCGACAGCGATCCGTCTGCTACAGCTGGAGGAGCAGCAGGAGTGGGCGTTGGTGTCGGCGGGGTGACGAGCGCTGCTGCAGCTCTCCTCTCGTCCATCAAGCTCCCAGAGTTTGTGCGGGAGATCTCAGGAGACCTCAACCCCGAGGTGCAAGCCCTCAACATCCGCCTCCTGGAAATCAACAAGAAGCTACAGGCAGGCAATCTGACCGGGGACTCTGCTGCGGGGTTAGAGGGAGCCATGGCTGCCGCCCTTGGGCTCACGGATGAGCGGTCGGTGGAGCGGTCTCCGTCGCCCGAGCCGATATACGACAACATGGGCGTGAGAGTGAACACGCGGGAGCAGCGAGTGAAAGAGAAGCTGATGCGCGAGCGGCAGGAGGTGATTGCGGAGATGATAAAGAAGAACCCCGGGTTCAAACCGCCTGCGGATTACAAGCCGCCCAAGTACTACAAGAAGCTGTTCATCCCCATGAAAGAATACCCTGGGTATAATTTCATCGGGTTGATTATCGGGCCGCGCGGCAACACACAGAAGCGCATGGAGAAGGAGACGGGAGCCAAGATTGTGATCCGGGGGAGAGGGTCGGTGAAGGAGGGGCGGGCGGCGAAGGGAGGGAGGGATTTCAAGCCGGACCCGGCGGACAATGAGGACTTGCACGTGCTGGTGGAGGCGGATAGCGAGGCAGCTCTTAACGAGGCGGCGGACATGGTGCAGAAGCTGCTAGTTCCTGTAGACGAGGGGCACAATGAGCACAAGCGCGCGCAGCTGAGGGAGCTCGCGGCACTGAATGGCACGATCCGGGAGGAGGAGCTGGTGTGCCGGCTGTGTGGGGAGCAGGGCCACAGGCAGTACAACTGCCCGGATAGGCACTCGACTTTCCGGTCTGAAGTCACGTGTTCGATCTGCGGGGATGGGGGGCATCCCTCTGTGGATTGCCCGATGAAGGGCGCTGGCGGAGGGGGAGGGGGGGGCGGAGGGGGAGCGCAGGGGCAGAAGCTTGACGAGGAGTATATGTCGTTCCTGGCTGAGGTGGGGGGGGGCGTGGGGGGACCGATTGGGGGAGAGGGTGGGGATGGCGGTGCAGGGGGGCGTGGGGGAGGGGAGGAGCGCGGAGGAGGCTGGGGAGGCGGGGAGCGGGGGGAGAGAGGCGGGGAGCAGGGCGGGGGTGGGGAGCGTGGAGGGGGAGGGGGCAGGGGGTCAAGCCGTGTGGAGGATGATTGTAATCTCTACGTGGGGTACTTGCCTCAGTCTGTGGACGACCAAGGGCTCTACTCCCTCTTTGCCCCGTACGGGCGCATTCAGGAGATCAAAATCATCCGCGATCGCAACACGGGCATGAGCCGGGGGTTTGGGTTTGTGCGGTTTGTGGAGAGGCAGGCGGCAATGGCGGCCACACAGGGGCTGAACGGGTACCGCATGGAGGGCAAGACCATTGTCGTGCGCTCCACTGCCAAGAACCAGCAGGGCACCGGCCCTGGTGGTCCCGGTGGGCCTGGAGGGCCGGGAGGGCCGGGGTTAGGAGCACCAGGGGCAGCAGCAGGCGGGGGTGGTCCGGGTGGTCCCCACGGCCCCTCTGGCCCCCCTGGTCCCCCTGGTCCGTATGGGCCCTCTGGGCCTTCTGGTCCCCCTGGCGCTGCTGCTCCTGGTGGTGCTGGCCCTCCCCCACCTGGCCCCCATGGTGGCCCCCCTCCGCATATGGGCCCTCCCCCCATGCGCCCTCCCTATGGCCCCCCTCCCCCTTACCCTCCGCCTGGGTCAATGGACCCATCCGCTCCTCCCCCCCCGTGGGCTCACCCCCCTGGCGGCCCCCCTCCTCCCTTCGGCCTCTGCGGCCCGCCGCCTCCTGGAAACGTCCCTCCCCCCTATGCTCCTCCTGGTTATCCCGAGGGTGTTCCCCCGCCGCCTTTCCCCCCAAATGGCCCATCGGGCCCTCCTCCGGGTGCCTTTATGCCGCATGCATACGGTTCAGATTATCCACCCCCACCTGGTGCATACCCTGGAATGGTGGGCCCGCCTGGAGTGTATGAGGACGTGGAGTTGCCTCCTGGGACTTCCACCCCGCCTCCTGGTGCGCCTGCTGCTGAGATGGGTGCAGCAGCAGAGCCCCCTCCTGGCATGGAACTTTCGTGCCCCCCTGCTCTCTATCCCCATATGGATCCTGCAGCAGCAGCAGCAGCGGCGGCGGCGGCTGCGGCAGCGGCACACCCCCCTTCATGGGCCCCCACGTCTGCGGCAGCAGCAGCAGCCATGGCAGCTGCAGTGTCAGCGGGTGCAGTCAAAGGGGGGGCGCACATGCCGAGTGCTGTTCCTGGGCTGGTTGGTGGGGCAGGAAGCGAGGGAGCACCGGGAGGGGTGGGAGTGGGTTCGGGTGGCGAGAAAGAGTATGCACAGTTCATGGCAGAAGTGGCAGGAGGCACTGGTGGAAATGCAGCTGGTGGTGCCCAGTGAGCAGGAATGTGCTTTCCGCACATGTGCAAGGTGGGTCAAGAAGCCGGACAGTTGCCTTTTTGCAGCTGCATTTATCTCTTCCTGTATTGTTGTGGAGGATTGAAGTCTCTGTGCATGTTCCTGTCTTTTCACTGACTTCTTCCTTGGTGGTCCTGTCCCCCTGTCCACTGCTGTCCTCTGCTTGGTGCGGTATGCTTATGGTCTTTAGGTTCGTGAAGCCTCTGGAACGAGCCACTGCGAAATTGCTGGGAAGAAGCGTGGTGCTATGAAGAGAAGAGAAGAGAAGAGAAGAGCATGGATTGAAGGTTGCAGCTCGGGAACTGATGCTTGACATTATCTTGCCTCGTATGCTTTGTGCTGACTCATTGTCCACTATCTGCCCTAGTCACATCTGATGTAGAGTGTCCTTGTCCTGTCCTGTCCCTGCCCTCTGCCACAGCATACACTCATGACCCCCCCATGCATTCTGTTGTGAATGCAGAAGACATGTGCACATGCACGTGGGCTGGGCACACACACAACACTGCTCTGCTTGTTAAATTGAATGTTGATTATTTTTTTGTGCACAACTTGATCAGGAGTCAGGCTCAATGAGTTTAGTAGTTTCTTACGGTACTGTGTCTTCGCTAGTTAGACCCTAAGCAGTTCCGGAAGTACCCAGACATATAGAATATAGTTTGTTTGTAGCTCTTTAGTGATGACAGGTCATGGTTTCCATAAAATCTGCCAATGGGCAGCATGTGATTAATAATTGATACATTTTATTGATCAAGCTTATGGAATGGCAGTTCGTCTCAGTCATCATCATCTTCTCCATCTGCAAAAAGACATTAGGGATCAGTAAGACACTTATCCAGCAATAGAAAAGCAGCGAATTGCAGCAATTCAATGCATGACAGGAACTAACCTGATCGGACGTCGCCTTCCACACGGCCCACGACTAGCTGCCTGTAGATTACTCTACAGATGAGTATCCACCAATAACAATGCATTTCGATCATCATGATAGTTGCAAAGTTCAGGGCGTAGTAAAGCGGTGGGAGAAGTACTGGGTACTTCTTCAAATCCAAGTATTTGATTGTTTCAAAACTGAAACACCAAGGAAACGCACATGAAACAAGCACTTCAGACAGACTCGAACTACAAGCAAATATGTGAACAACAACCACGAAACAAACACGACAAGGAGCTCTGTGGGAAAGCAGAGAGGCCCAAAGGCTCGACCACATACCAGAAGCTGTACAGGACGTTTCGCGGAAACCACCACAACCTAAACATCACCCAGGTTGTCGCGAAAAGGGCGAATGAAACGTTTGCTCCCAGTTCGAATTCTGAATATAAGCACAGTTTCGCGACCTCGAGCAGCACGTCGCTTATATCGTGAAGTCCTATGACTGCAGGAGCCATTCGGAATACTCTGCAAACAACCACAGACGACGCATTATGTAAGCACGGCAAGGATCAAAAGTCACGGTGGCAAAATCTGGAGACAATTACCTGAAGTGATAGCAGACAATTGACATGGTTACGCAACATATATGATGGATCAGATGCACAAGCCAGTCCTTCCGTCGAGTCTCCCAGAAAAGAATGGCGAAAATGCTATAAATGTAAAATCCCGCGAAATAGCCAAACAGGACCTTGGCCTTCAGCCTGCAACATGAAATGTAGCAACACAACCTGATCAGACCGAATTCCCGAGCCGCGTGGAACCCCTAAAATGGAACTCGAAAGATACTTGCTTCGCCGTTTGATCTGGCCAAACTTTCGAACCAGGGCCGATCCAGTAGTACTTCGTGTCTGTGAGCCAGGGCTCTCCAGACGTCACACAGTAGCAGAAGATGCATGACGATAGATAATACGCAATTTTCCACAGCGACTCCTTGTATTTGAACCGAGTCTTCAACAGGGCTGCCCTGTCAATAGTAGCCGCAGAACCCTTTTCTGAGGTGAGCGAGACGTCTTTTTTCCAGATAGCTTTGCTACGGACGAACTTTTTCCCCAAGATCTGCAAGACGGAAAAAACCCCTTGAGTTTGACACTTAAAAACTAACCGAAACAGCGGATAGCAGCTAAGGTACCTCAAAAACGGTCTTATCCAGAATATATCGAGCAACAGGAAGCGCGAAGGCGAATATAAGGGCATATGGCATATCCCTGAGCTCCGGCTCTCTCTCGTCGTTCCAGTGATTCTTGTAATAACTTATCACGCCTGCCACGATGGTCCCCATAGCCCGCAACGACAGGGACCAAGTCCCAATGGACTACAAAAACCACAATTCTGACAGGAGGATGGAGAGGCCCAAGAAATCATGAGTGCGTCACTACTGCTGGTCATCGCTACTGGGGACGAAATCTTACCAAAATGGGCAATGCAGCGATTTAGATGGTTGCGCGTGTGCCCGCGTTCCGTTACACGCAAAATCGTGGCTGCGACAAGGATGTGGAGGATAAGCAGTTACAGCTTCGGCATCGCAGTATCCACTTATAGCACAAGGCATTTTGTTCGGTAGCTTATTCTGGAATCACTTTTGGATATCAAAACTCATTAAAAAAATCAATTCACAGTTGAAAAAGATGTACAATGGCACCTTAATATATCGTATAAATGCTGATTAATGAGTGATCTTAATTAAGAAAGGAAAAAGAAATCATGCAGCACCACCCACTCTCGCACCCATTTCCCGTCAAGGGTGTGTGTAGCAAGCAGGTGCACAACTGGTGGCTACATCAAGTAGGAGCACTAGTACCGTATTAGTTCAACAGTGCACACAGAAATCTCGCTACATGAAAATAAAATTCTTTATAGCAAACAAACTACAATACGAAGTATGAGCGCCCATACAAGTATTTCCCAAAGACACTCTGCAAGCACTTATTACACCCAATGACACAGAGTCATGGATTTAGGGAGTCAATGCCTCGTCACCATGATGACCCCAAGGGACATCACCATATCACTCAAATAGCCACGAACTACCATAGGCATGTCTACTTGTTGAGTGCCAAGTTGAGAGATGCAGAGGGACTTTGACTGCCAGGGGAACGAGCCTTGGCTGTGGCTCGACTGACGCGTGTGATTCCACTTCCCACTGCTGCCTCACTGGCTGTAGCTGACACCGATGGACTGCAGCAGGAAAAACCAGGAAATTTAGAGAGTCAAGAGGGAATCAATACGGTGCAATGTTAGAACCAAGGAATCTTCACACAGGGTGCGAAAGATACAGCACGATACAGCACTGGCACAGAACAAACGAAACGATTGCTGCAGCTGATTCACCCCGCAGCTTGAACAGCTGCAGGGAAGCACCATTCACTCACATGTTGGTGCTGGTGGTGCTTGCAGCTCTGGTCTTGCCTGAGACCACAACACTGGGAGGGCGAATGCCACTGCGAGGGCTGCCACCCCTTGCTGCTGGAGGCCCCTCTGCACCCTTGTCACCCTTGTCACCCTTGTCGCCTGCTGCCGTTCCAGAAGCAGCAGACACAGCAGCGGGGGTGGGGATGTTACTGGGGCTAGCGGCGCGGGGACTGGCAGGACGAGCCGAGGAAGCCGAGGAAGACTTGGCAATGCGGGGGGTAGAGGGGAGGGAGGACGCAGGGGTGGATGATACACTGGGGGAGGACAGCCTGGGTGCTGTAGTGGTGGTAGAGGAGGTGGTGGTGGTGGTGCCAGCGGGGTCTCGGTTGGACTGCACACGGCGCACCACAACCACCTTGCGAGTGACAGTGGTGCGATCAGGCGCAGGCAGTGACGGGGACGCTGGCTCCTTGCTCGCCTGCCAACACTCACATGCACACACACATGCACACACACACACACACACACAGCACAGCACACAAGTTCATCAGGCAGCAAGCACCCAGTTTTGAGACATCTCAACTCTCATTATAGCACACAGTGCATGCACATCCAGTGCTGGGCTCAGGAGAAACAGGTGCTTTATAGTGGCTCGTACCTTTCGTCGCACAGTGCTGCCGCTGCCACTGCCACTGCCGCTGCCACTGCTGTAGCTCGGACTGCCCCCTCCACCACCACCACCACCACTGCTACCAACAGCAGCACTAGAGCCGCCCTTCCCAGACGCAGCAGCAGCAGCCGCTGCACTGGAAGCAGCACCCAGCAGCGCCGCAAGATTCCCATTCTGCTGCTGCTGCAGCGCCGCAGCCGCCGCTTCTGCCGCCGCCGCCGCCGCCTCTGCAGCGGCCGTGGCAGCAGCAGCCTCGACCTGCAGCCTCTCCATCTCTGCCTCTAGCTCCACCACCTGCACTCGCATCTCCCCTATGCGCCGCTCTGCTGCTGCCTGCCCCTCCATCTTTGCTGCTACCACGTCCTCTGCTGCCTCCTGCTTCAGCCGCCACTCCGCCTTCTGCCTCTCTGCTTCGACCTGCACCTCTGCTATGCGTGCCTCTAGGTCCTTGATCCGCCTCTCCCTCTCCTCCACCTCCGCCTGCTTCGCCACCACCTGGGCCTGCTTTGCTGCTATTTCCGCCTGCTTGGCGGCGATCTCTGCTCTGGCGTCCTGCAGCTGTGCGGCCAGCAGTGCACCCTCCTCCACCTGCCTCTCCAGCTCCTCGACTTTGAGGTGCAGGGACTCTAAGAACTGCTCTGCCTGCTTCCTGTCCACCAGCCCACCACTCGCCGCACCTCCTCCCGCCCCAGGTGCAGCACCCGTTCCCTCCTCACCACCTGCCTGTCCTTCACCTGAGTCCCCATCAGCAGCAGCGCCAGCAGCAGCAGCAGCAGCAGCGGCAGCCACGCCTTGCACGAGCAGGTCGGCCTGCTGCTGCAGGCGCATGCGGTCGCACTCCCTCGCCTTCTCGCTCAGCACAGCAGCATGGCTCGCCAGCCCGCGCTTCTCCCTCTCTGCCGCCAGCATCGCCCTCTCCAGCGCCTCATTCACGCCCCGTGCCTCCCCCAGCAGATTCTCAATCGCCGCCTTCTCCTCTTTCAGCCGCTGCACCTCAAAGGAGAGCTCCTGTAAGAGAACCGCTTCCCC